GCGATATGGTTCATGGGGTCACGAAGAGTCGGACACGACTTAACGACTGAACAACAACAGATAGGGGTATTATACCCGTCCTGGTCTTTGTAGACCTTTCAGCAACCTTCAGTACCATCAACCAAGGTATTCCTCCAGACCAACCATGAGGGTTAGAGAGTAGAGGCACTGCGTTTTATACTAGGTCTGCGCTTTCCCTAGCGGACAGTTTTGGCCTTTGGTCATGGGGGAGGAAAGTTCAACCCAGTGGACAATCTTTTGTGGAGCGCCACAGAGCTTAGTCTCCCCTCCCCCCCCCCTTTTAACATCTACAGAAAGCTATTGGGAGAAGTAGTCTGTCAGTATGGGATGAAATATCATTAATGCACAGATGATACACAATTGTACATTGCCACCCTAGGCCTGCTGTGAACCCAAGCAAAACTGTCGCTGTTTGTTCTTCATGGTTCGTTGTTGGCTTCGGTTTTGTCTCTTGACAGGGAGGCAGTACCTTTGAAGGTTTCCAGATGCAGTTCAAAATGGCTTCAATCTATAAAGCGCTTTACAGCTTGGCATCTTGGTACCCTCAGGACCATCTTCCCCTACCCAAATTGACCCATCCAGTACATTTATCTTGGGACAAACCATTTGTGGTGCCTCGCTCGGTGAGGTGAGGGGTCTGGGGCCAGCAGACGTGGTTTCTTGGTCAAGGCACCTGTCCTCTGGAACAGCTTCCTCCTGGGAGCTAAATTAGCCCCCTCCAGGGTGGCCTTCCAGAAATTAGCAAAAGCTGAGCTCTTCCAGATGCTTATCCAGGGATGTCATCCTCTGTGGGTTTGGTGCGTGTGTGTGTGTGCCTGGTTGCTTTTTTCTGTTTTCTTCACCTTTTCATTTTACTGTGGTTGTTTTAATTATTATTGTATCAGCTTTTATTGTATTGTGAGCCATCAGGGAATTGTATGTGTGCACTGCATGAAAAGGAAGGAAGGCATTTTGTTAAATAAATAGAATGAAGTGAGGTTTCCTTGTAAGCTGCCTTGAGCTCCTGGAGAAGAGGCTGGATGCAATGCTAATAAATAATAAATAATGTCCAAAAGGAGGTTGACTGCTACACAGTCTCGGCTGAGGATCAGGCTCCTTTTGAACAGAGCAATACAAAACACTTAAGCAGAATTTTGACAGATGGCCAAACCTCCTGGTCTGGTCAGGTCATTTATCCAAACTTGTCCCCTTCCCTAATGCATGTTAAGGAGAGCGGTCATGTAGAGAGGTTCCCTGCTCCACAGAGGCACAAATGTGGGAAGACTGGGGAAAAGGAGGCTTCTGGGCGGACCCAGTTTCTCAGCCTGGAATCTGGGCCAAGAATTTAGAGGAGAGCATGAACAAAGACTCCTGCTAAGAGAATCAAGATGGAACCAGGTAGCTCTCCTGCTGAACAGGGGGGTCCTCTAGGAAACTGAGCCTTGGAAATTAGGGGTTCTGGTCATGCACCCCAACTCATCTTCAAGACAAGGCATGCTGGTGCTTGGCCAAGGCTCGCTTTCCATGTCACTGGGCCTTGATTGTCCACTTTGAACGGCACTCAGTCGGGAGTGGCTTGCCAGGGTGAATGGGGCTGAAGGTGTTGGACTAGGACCAGGGAGACCTGGCTCCAAAGCCCCTCTCTGCTGTGGAAGCCTTGGGCCAGCAACGTTTGCTCAGTTCTGTCTGCCTCCCTGGGCTGTTGGAGGGTTGGACTGCAGGCTGCCTGGAGGAAGGCAGGAGGCAAAGCTGTGAAGGAAAGGCCCTCACAGCGCAGCTCGTGGGGTCCCGAAGAGAATATTTCTACTCCTGAACGTGTCGGGAGCAGGAGGGGTGTGTGCTCAAAGCCGTGGCTCTCTCCAGCAAATTGGGAAGCCCAGCTCAGGGCCTCGGGGCCAGCAGCAGGCGGGGAGGGGGGGTTGCTTTCCTTTTTGGCAACCTCGGTGCTGAGTGTTCAAGCGATGATTAAAGCACAGCCTTTAAGTGTGCCAGTTTCGTCAGAGGCTCTCTGTCAAGAAATGTTTGCACAGAACAAGGGAAGATGGTTTTTATTTTAAATCACAAAGCCTATTTTCGGTTCCAAGAACAAATCATTTTCAGGCCTTACCCTCCCACCTAACAGATGTCCTCCATACTGTCAGCGGGAGGCAAACTTTCAAGCACTCCGGCGGGTTTCCCCTCTCTGCAAAAGTCTGTTTTCTTTTGGGAGGGAGGCGGATTTGGCCACCAAGCCCCGGAGTTCTCCCCAGGGCCGGTGGGCCCATGAGCTGCCCCAGTAGGGCCGGGGCTGGGTCTGCTTCTGGGGACCCAAGGAGCCGCCTCTTCTTTTCGGAACCGGGCACCCAGCTCTTTCTGCCTGGAGGCTGCCAGCACCAGCCCCCCTCTCTGGGCAGAGGCAGGACCCATCGCCGGCTTTGGGGGGGGGTTCTTCATATGGAAAACTCGTCCTGTCCCACTCTTAAAACCACCTAAAGAGACCCAGGAGCCCAACCATTCCTACTCCCTAAAATTTTTGAGAAAGAAAAAAAAGGTCTATAATCAGTTTGAAAAGCAGCCCTTTGGGGCCATTCCTTAGTTTTGTTTTTTGTTTTTGTTTTAAAAACCCTGAAATTTTAAATCACTAACCTTCAGCCAATTGGCTGCCCGGTTTCTTTTTGGGCTGCTTTGGTGGGGGGTCACATGTGGTGGGTGGCTGAAACTGCCCACCCCTGCCTTAGGAGCAGACATTGGAGGGGGATCAGATTTCCCTTGAAAGCAAAACGGCTTGTTGGTCTGAAGCGGGGTTTCTGCCTGAAGGCTCTGGGTTGCTTCCCTGACTCTCCACGACAGGGAAATTGAGCAAAAGCCCTGCAGGCAACCACCGCCATCACTGCCCCCCACCCAAAAAAAGAGCCTGAAAGGGTCTGGGGAGGAAGTGGATGGGAATTTGAATGTCACCTCCACGAGGTGACTCTTTTGTCATGCTGCTGGAGGAGGTCACGTCTGACCCCCTTCAGTCCCTAGGAGGGGATGGGAAGCTTTGCTTGGAGGCCTTGGAGAACTCGTGTTGGTCAGATGAGGCTCTGCTGGGCCAAAGGCCAGAGTGCAGCTGAGTTCAGGTGCTGGCTGACCTCAGGCTCCAAACGGCTTCAGCCAAAAGCCTCTGGTGTGTGCTGTCACGGCAAGAGATCTCCTTCAAAAGGGTTGGACTACACCTCCCAAATGCCGTCATGGCCAGGAATTAGGAGAGCTGCAGCCCAACATCACTGGAGAACACCGAGTTGGAGAAGACTATACAGTCCAGTAGCACGGCCCTACAAAAACTAAGAGTGGAGCCTGAAAATGTGTTGACCTAGAAAGTGAACATTTCAGAAGTTTGGTGGACTGGTGGCAGGTTGCCTGATGTCAGCCTTGCGAGGTAGTCCAAACAGGAAGCATGCCCAGATCAACTAATTCCATTTTATTTTAAGTTCACAGTAACAGAATCTTGCATATCTGAAAATACTTCAAGTGTGGGGATGGCTAGCCCCATAGAGGCCTGCTGTCTTTAGCCCCAGATTCTTTATCTTCTTGGACTCTCCTTTTCCTTTTTTTTTTAGTAATGTTTTGTAAATTTTGATGTTTTATGTATTTATATATATTTATGGTTTTAATGTTTTGTGTGAGTCGCCCGGAGTCCCCCATTGGGGGGAGATGGGCGGGGGAAGAAATTTAATAAATAAATAAATAATAAATAAATAAAATACAGGTGGTCCTTGATTTATGACTACTTGTTCAGCGACCATTCAAAATTACATGGCACTGAACGAGGAGAACTTATGACCAGTCCATGAAGTTGTGGCCATTCCCCGCACTCATGTGATCACCATTTGCAACCTTTCCTGCCAGCTTCCCACAAACAAAGTTAATGGGGAAGCCAGCAGGGAAGGTCACAAGTCACTCCTGTAAGTTGCTCCCGTTGCTTTTTCTCCCAAGGATCCCCATTATGGAGTATGAATGGGCCCACCTGCAGCCCCCGCCTGTGGACCCCGCTGGCCCACCCATGCTTCCCAGCACCTGCCTGGGACCCTCACCACCTGGCCTTGCCTAGCACCCACCTGCAGCACCCCACATGCACATTTCTGTGGCACCCATGCATCTCCCCATGCTCCTTGCCTGAGACTCCTGTATCTTCCCGCTTAATGACCCGCACAGTCCTGGGGTTACAATGGCACTGGAACTGCTGGGATTGCTGTTGCTAAGCGATGCAGTCACATGACATTGCACTTTACAACCGCATTGCTTAGTGGTGGCAATCCTGATCCCAGTTGCTGTCGTAATCCAACAACTAACTTACTTTTCTGCCCCACTACCTTTGTAGCCCAAGAAACTAGGGAGGTCCCTTCTGAGATGTTTGCCATGTCCACATTCCTTTTGCGGGCTCAGCTGCCTCTTATCTAACCGTTCCCCTGGCTGTGACCCTTCCCCCTGTCTCTCACATACCATTACACCTGGACAAAGGCAATTGAGCTGAACTTTGGATGCAGTGCCAAAAGGTCAGTCCATGTGACCCTGCAGTGCCCTCTCCTTCCACTTCCACAGGAGCAGCAGAGAAGAGTTCCAAGCACGGGGCTGAGGATCGTACCCAGAACATCATCATGGCCATGAAGGACCGCATGAAGATCCGAGAGCGGAACAAGCCAGAGATCTTCGACCTTATCCGAGATGTCTTCAGTGAGAGCAAGATGGCCCATGCGCAGCAAATTAAAATGGTAAAGCAGAGTGTTCTGGATGGGACCTCCAAGTGGTCGGCCAAAATCACCATCACAGGTGAGTGAGGAACCAGAGCCCTGCTGAAGCTCTCCCAGAGCCTGGCTCTGCTTCTGGAGCACTTCCTGATTTCCCCCTCCCCCCTTGCGCTGTCTCCCTGCAGTGGTTTGCGCCCAAGGCCTACAAGCCAAAGACAAGACCGGCTCTAGTGATCCGTACGTGACGGTCCAAGTGGGCAAAACAAAGAGGAGGACCAAAACCATTTTTGGGAATCTGAACCCCATCTGGGAAGAGAAATTCCATTTGTAAGTATTGGTGTAGCATGTGCCTTAGTGCTGTTTTATTTACTCCCTGAAAAAAAGGTTTTTTTGTACAGGTCAGTCAGAACAGTGGGGATTCCCTGTCACCTTACGAAGGGGCAGGGTAACTGGAACCTGGGAAATGAGGAAATTGAGAGTCACCACTGCATAAGACAATGTGCTCCAAGCAGCAGGCTCTACATTTGTTTTTTTATTCCTTTCATTTATATGGCCACCAAAGGGATAAGCAAATGGCTTTCTGAAAGGAGGGCACCTTTCCCACCTCCCAGACAAGGACATGGAGAGAAGGGAACCCAGACCATCCGTGCTGTGAATCCGGGCTCTGAGTCTGCCCCGCCAGGGCAGGAGTGGCTTCCTGCAGGTGGCCCCCATGACTTGTGCCTTGAGCTCTTCTCTTTGCCTCTTTGCTTGCAGCTCCGCCTCGCGCATGGATGAACATGCACCTTTCGCCTCTTCATTCTCTGGGGCAAGCTCGGTCCCTGCTGCTCCTTGGGCCCAGGGTGGCCCAGCCCCAGCCCAAAGGGTTGGGCGTCCTCAGAGCTTCAGAGGAGAAGCCAACCCAAGGCAGCCGCCAGGACGCTGGTGCCAAAGAGCAAGGGCAGGAGACAGGGGAGACCGGCTGTGTTGGGCAACGCCTGCCATGAGTGGCTGTAACGTTGCGTGTGTGATTCAGGAAACGGTCCTCTTTGGCCTTCCTTTGGGCGATTGCACCAGCCAATTTGGCTGCTTAATGCAGGTGCTCTGAGGATCAGATCTCTTCCTGCCTTCCTCCGGAGGCATATTATCAGCGGCTGATTGTGCTGACAGAAATTGGAGCCCCTAGGCTCTCTTCCTGGAGGTGGCAAATAAGGAGGCAATGTAATTAGGATAATGAACTCTCATTATGCCAAGATGGGCCAGGATAGTATTGCTGTGTCATGGGCCTTGCATGCAATGCTTAAAGAGTCCACTGTTTTTCTAGCCTTCTCAGTCACTCAAGGGCCTTCTGGAGCCAAGAGCATTTAAAGTTTGGCACCAGTGTGTTGCCCATGGTGGCAAAAATCCTAGCCACTCATACAGACAAATGGGATCAGAGCTAGCAGTGACCGATGAGGAAAGAGATCTTGGAGGGATGGGATATGGTTCAGTGCAGGCGTCTGCCCAGCATCGTCTGCTGTAAAAAAGGCCAACGACACGTCGGGGATAATAAGAAATGGTATTGAAAATAGAGATGCCAGTATTATGATGGCCTTAAACAAATCAGTGGTGCGACCTCATCTGGAATATTGTGTGCAGTTCTGGACATTGCACCTCAAAAAGGATATAGTGGAGCTAGAGAAGATTCAGAGGAGGAAATCTAAGGAAAGGTTGTGACATTGGGGGCTTTTTGGTCTAGAAAGGAGGTGAATGAGAGGGGACCTGATGGAGGTTTACAGAATTACGCATGTGTGGAGAAAGTGGACAAGGAGAAATATGGAACTAGAGGTTACCAATGGAATTGAATCATGGAAGAATCAGGATAGACAAAAGGAAATATTTTTTGTGCAAGGTGTAATTCAGCTTTGGAATGTGCTGGCTACCAACTCAGCTGGCTTCAAAAAAGGGCTGAATGAATTCATGGATGTCCTGGAGATTAGTGGCTATTAGCTTTGATGGCAGTGGGACTGGCTCTGAAGGCCATCTGCTGGAATTTGTGGGCTTCCTTGGGCAGTTGGGTGGCCCCTGTGAGAACAGACTGCTGGACTAGATGCGCCAACGATCCAATCCAGCAGGGCACTGCTTATGGTCTTATGGTCTGCATGCAAGTTCATAGAACACTAGAAGCGGAGAGCAATTTGGATGTTATTAGGAAGTTCAAGCATGAGGTGATCTTGGTCTTTAGGATACCAAAGTAATAAAAACTGGCCATTTCTTTGACTTCCTTGTTTAAAAAGAATGAGAGAGAAACACTGTTATCATCATTTATAAAATGTGCAGTCATTGTTGGGTTCCTAAGGTGCAAAATCTGTTTTCAGAGCCAGATACCAGCATTATGGAGCTTGGAATCCAGTCTCCAAAAGAGAGGTGAGATGGCGGCCTCTTTGCCTCAAACAGACAGCTCGAAGTTGCTCCATTGCATAGAAAAAACTCCTTGAAGACAAACGAATGTTGTTTTAGCCTGAGCTGTCAAAGTTGCTTCAGATGCCTGTGATAATTCTCCCTATATGTCAGCACACCCACAAGAAATGTAGTACTTGGCTTGAATATCAAATTATCTTATTGTAATCGCAGCAAGCCAAAGGACACGAAGAGCAGCTTCTTCTGGTCTGAAGAGTCCAGTCCGATGAATAGGCACACGGCAGGGTTGAATCCTGCACTTCTTCCTCCCAGCCTTCCGTTGCACAGGACTGGCAGCCACCCTTTCCTCAGGCTTAGCGCTCTGGCCATGGGCCTGGTGCTTTCACAGCAGGCTCCTCTGTCCCCAGTCTTGGCATCTTCCACTCTGACATCAACTTTTGTTGGCCACCTTCGGCTTCTGCAGGGGCTTGGCAGGTAGTTCTGGGAGAAGAGGTGCAGCGGTTTGTGGAGGGAAGAGGGGAGAGGGAAATAGAAAAGGTAGAGGTTGGGGGAACATAACGTAGGATTTGCAGATGGTGAACATTTCTTCCATTTATAAAATAATTGTAGTTACCGCTGTTGTTTTAACTTGAAATTAGAAACCAGCCAGCCCAGCCAAACCTTCTAGGAGAAGGAGCTCCAAAATCAAGCCTGGAAGAAGGCAACGGCAAACCACTTGTGTCTTGTTTCCAAGAACACTGCACGGACCCTTGAGTTTTCACGTGGTCTGAAGTAAACAACCAAATGCCAGATCGGTCTGTTGGCAAACTAAGAAACCAGAACTCCTGTTTCAAAGAGAGAGGAATCTAGCCCATTGCAGCACTTGGTCAGGAGAAGGGGGCACAATGCATTTAAACCTTAAGTTTCGGAATAAAAAGTGCTTGCATCTGATATACAGCAGTGGCTGGAATCCTTTCATTAAGGCTTCCTTCGTAGCTTTTCTGTGATAAATCTACTTATCTGAGCTGCTGTGTCCTTGGAAATCTTTTTCTGAAATTTTATTTTTTATTTTTGTACCACAAGCTGAAGAAAGCTGGCAGTATGTCAGACCAGTTTGGGTGCAAGTTGATGAGACACCCCACAGTTAGGAGGCACTCCTCTAGTTCTTGGGAAAGAACACTAAGCTTTCATGGACAGAGCTGGAAGTGATACTGTGGCCAGACCAAAGCCACAAGAAGAGTTCCTTCTTTCAAAGCTTGGCCTCGAAGAAGGACATGTAATTTGGCACAAGAAATCATGAATCAAGAACCATGGACCATGAACTGAGGGAACTAAATTGTACCCTTCAGGAATAAATGAAATTAAGTGGAAGTCAGGTGACTGGGACACTTTCAATCATAGGGTGTGATTCAGGGCATGAGATTATAGAAAGGAATGGAGAGGCAGAGATCCTCAAAAGGGCATTGCTAAGGATGTCTCAGCTACAGCCGAAACAACGGCAGGACCTTATCTGTTAGAACCTGGAGGATATCCCACAAAACATCAGTGTTACACAAATGTGTGTCTTTCCTAAAGATTTAGTGGTAGGACACATTGAGGAATTCTATGGCAAACGTCAAATTTATTAAATTTATAAGGCCGCCCAACTTTACAGTAACTCTTTACTACTAAACTACAAATGAATGTCTGGAAGAAAAGCAGCCATGAAAAGGCAATCACATATGCAGGACCTGCCACCCACTCTGACCCAAAGCCTGGGGAAGGAGCCAGGTGTTCAGAGCTCTTTTGAACACTGCCAGGGTGGGGCCCAGATACATCTCAGGGGGATGGTGCCCCAGAGGGCAGGTGCCGTGTCAGAGGAGGACTGTTCCGGGTCCCATCAAGGGACCTGCAGCGTGCTGACTCTGCCTGACTGTACAAGCTGGGCAGGAACCAAGGCAGACAGGCAGTCCTTCAGATAGCCAGGCCTATGCCGTGAAGGGCTGTATAGGTGAGCTGCGTCCGGAAATTGACTGGTAACCAGGGCAGGTCATGGAACAAAACTTAATGCCCATAGTTCCAACTGTGCTGCTGCATTCTGCACCAACTGTAGCTTTCAAGAGATTTTCAAGGATAACCCAATGTGGAGAGCATTGCGCAAGATGACCAGAGCATGAGTGACTGTCTGAAATCAACATGGGTGGTTTGAATGCAAAAGGTGGAGAAGTGGAAGAACCTGAAATTGCAGAAGATTTCGATTAGGCAAACGCAGTACTGTAGTGTAGACATTCTGCAAAAAGAACCTTTTGCTTATTGCCAGCACCTGTTTTGGGCAACATCAGTCTCTGCGTCAGGACATCACCAGATGTGCAACAGTGGAATCAAATAGGCTACACAGCAGAAGATGGAGAAATGCAGTCTACTCAGCCAGGAAACTTTGGATGCAACTTGTGGAACTTGCCCTAAATTATGAGTGCCTCGTGTACAGGTTCAGTGCATAACATTAAGAACAGTGGATCACTAGCAGGATTTTGTCATCCAAGGATACGCAGTCAGCATATAGGATCGACCTAAGGAGTTAAATTAAATACACTTAATGTATTCAAAAGAGAAGCTAAGAAGCTGTGGGAAGAGATAAGAGACCTGATGAAAACTGATTTGGAAGAAGTCTCAACATTTTGAAGTGTGGCTTTGGAGTTATCATGACACAGGGAAGGATGAAAACCATTGGCAACCATATGAATGGTAGATAACTTAATGTAGACTTTTAGCATTGTGCAAGAAAAGGACCAGGAATTATGTCTCTGTCAAGAACCTTAAAAATAGGGGGGAGGGGGGAACAAGAAAAAAGAGAGAGGAGAATCACAAAAATATTTACATTGAGAGCAAGTCTACATGGTCTGAAGACTGGGAAAGATAGTTTGGTGTGAACACTGCTGCTGATGGAGATGCAAGAGAATGCAAATTACTGGACCATTGCCCTAAATCCT